ACACACACAGACACACACACACCGGGACACAGACACACACACACACACGCAGACACACGGAGACACACACAGACGCACACACAGACACATTCACAGACACACGCACAGACACACACAGACACACACACAGGCACACACCGACACAGACACATGCACACACAGACACACAGACACACACAGGCACACACAGACACACAGACACACACAGACACACACAGACACACACAGACACACACACATACGCACGCACAGACACACACACAGCCACACACAGACACATTCACATACACACGCAGACATACACACAGACACACACATACACACAGACACACACAGACACACACAGAGGCACACGCAAAGACACACACAAACACACAGACACACGCAGACACACACAGACACACACACAGACACACACACACACACATACGCACACAGCCAAACATCCGTAGCCATTTTGGCTCAAGGCGATGAGATTCCCGACGACCGCGAGTCTCTCGGGGCGATCAAGCGCGAGGGATCTCCCCTTGCGCCAAATCTCTCCACCAACTAAACTGTGCTGCGTTCTGGGCTACTGCACTGAGTGGCGCCCACACTCACGTGCCTTGCTGGTCCGCCCCAGCAGAGGCCATCACGTTTCCTTCTCGGCACGTCCCTGTCTGCCGTATGCCTGATGGCGCGGACGCTGGTGCTCCGAGACGCTCAGGGCGTGCACGTGCGGGTGGCGATGGGCGTCAGTCGCCGCGCAGCCGTGTCAGCTCAGCGCGCCACGAAGATGACGTGCGGAGCAGGAGTCAGGGCTCACCGATGGCTGCTCGTGCTTCTGCCCGCGCTGGTCCTGCTGGCAGCATGGAGACGGACGATCCGCTGCAGCGCGCTGACCCCTGGTCTACTGAGGGTGGGGGCGACGGACGTGGAGGCAGTGCTGGGCGGGGCCAGGCCGCTGCCGCTGGGACACCGCCTGTCATCGCCATCGACTCCCCGCGCCTCCCCAGGGACAGGAACGCTCCCGTCCTCCACGGCGACTTGGATGACATTCTGGCCGCCCTTCAGTCAAACATCATCAGTTCCGTGTCTGCCTCGGTCAAGGAGTCCGTGGATCGCATGCAGCGCGGCATCACGGAGAGCACGGCCACAGCCATCCGTGCGTTCGCGGCGAGGCAGGAGACCATCAACGAAGAGACCAGTCTCCACCTCCGTGATCTCGATGCCAGGCAGGACGCACTGGAAAAGGCTCACCGAGATATGCGGTCTCAGCTCGCGCAGATGCAGGAGATTGTTCACCAGTGCGAGAAGGCGGCGTCGCCCGAGCTGGATGTCACTAGCAATGTCGCCTTCACTCGCGAGCCGAACCACACCATCTTCGTGGCTACCACCAAGGAGCCGGTGGCGACGGCTGCTATTCGCGAGTGCGTGGCCTCCTGGTTGGCTGAGGGCGGCTTCACTGACGAGCAATGGAAGATTGAGGGCGAGAGTCCAGGCCGCCGTTTCATCATTCAGTTCCTGGGCGCGGAAGGTCTCGCTGCGAGGCACGTGCACCACGCGTTCAAGCATCTCAAGCTGGCCAGTGGCGAGTGGCGAAGGTTCGACGCTGCCACCCCCGCGGGGGCTCGCACGGCTGTCTTTGTGGGCCTTGACAAAAGCCCCCAGATGGTGCGGCGCGAGATCGAGACAAAGAAGCTGCTGGAGATCGTCAAGGAGTCGTGTGCGGGCAGATGGAGAGCGCATCGCGCTCAGGGTGTCATCTACAGGGGCTCTTCGCCAGTCATCAAGGTCCTCGTTCCTGAGACGCCGTCTGAGGCAACTGCGCTCCAGTGGAACTACCGCATGGTCATCGAGACGGGTATTGACAAGCAGAGCATTGCGGAGGCGTTCGCGGAGCGCTTTGGCGCGTCAGAGCGCATCCAGTGGGCTATTTAGCAAGCGACTGGCATGCTGGCGCCCTGTGCCATCGTCTTCGGGCGCGTCAGGATCGAGGATTCCCCCAGCGCTGTTCGGCACTTGGAATGCTCGCGCTCTTCTTCATCATGACCGTTCCGCGGGTGGCATCCGCGAGCTCAAGCTACGCTACCTGGCAAGCTTGTTGAGGCGGGGGGTGGTGATGGCGGTCCAGGAAGTCCATGCCACGCGGGCGGAGCTTCATCAGGCTCTACATCGGTTGCACGTCTCCTGCCAGGTATTCGAGTCCATACCACGCGTGGATGCTGGTGGCGTCTGTATCATCGTACCATGCGATCCCTTGGTTCTGCAGCGGGCACGCTTTCGTCCTGAGGTGATCGTACCTGGCCGTATTCTGAGGCTGAGGATTTCTGCGATCGCCGCTGATGGCAATTC